ACCGCACGCGCCAAATCACAGATAACATACGTTTAATCACAAACCGCGCACGCCGAATCACAAACAACACACATTGAATCACAAACCGCACGCGCCGAATCACAAACAACGACACATTGAATCACAAACTGCACGCGACGAATCACAAACAACATACATTGCATCTCAAACTGTACGCGACGAATCACAAAAAGAACATTGGTTTCCGTAATCACGGATTTGAGCTTCAATGCTTTCATAACGTGACCCAAGTTTCCGCGTTTCCACATATCCCAAACCATCGTGTGATGTTGGTTCCTCGTTTTGAAGAGACGATCCCTGCGTCTCCTCCTTCCTTTCTTCCTCCTCCCCCTCCTCCCTGCGTTTCGCCCACCCAATACAAACCGCCCGCGTGCGTTACTCACACCCATTTCGGCACACCACTCACACGTTTCGTGGCCCATAGAGAACTCCACTCAAGGCCACAGTGCCACCGCTCGCATGCATCTCGTCACACCCCTCACACGTTTCGTGGCCCCACCGAAGGCCCCAGTGCCACCGCCCGCATGCGTCGTCACCCACACCCATTTCGTCACACCCCTCACACGTTTCGTGGCCCGTCACCCCCATCCATGTCGGCACACCCCTCACACGCTTCGGGGCCCCATAGTGAGCTCCTCCGAAGGCCCCAGTGCCATCGCCTGCATGCGTCACCCACACCCATGTCGTCACGCCACTCACACGTTTCGTGGCCCCATAGTGAGCTCCACTGCAGGCCCCGGTGCCACCGCCTGCATGCGTCACCCACACCCATGTCGTCACGCCACTCATACGTTTCGTGGCCCCATAGTGAGCTCCACTGAAGGCCCCAGTGCCACCGCCCGTATGCGTCACCCACACCCAATTCGGCACGCCACTCACACGCTTCGTGGCCCCATAGGGAGCTCCACCGGAGGCCCCAGTGCCACCGCCCGCATGCGCCACCCACGCCAATTTCGTCACCCACCCCACACGTTTCGTGGCCCCGTAGGGAGCTCCAACGAAAGCCCTGGTGCCACCGCCCGCATGCGCAGAATGGGCACACCCCTCACGCGTTCAGTGGCCCCAAAGGGAGCTCCACTGAAGGCACCAGTGCCACGGCCTGCATGCGTCACCCGCACCCATGTCGTCACACCCACCTTTCATGGCCCCGTAGGTAGCTCCAACAAAGGCCCCAGTGCCACTGCCCGCATGTGTCATCCACACTCATGTCGTCACATCCCTCACACGCTTCGTGGCCCCATAGGGAGCTCCACCGAAGGCCCTAGTGCCACTGCCTGCATACGTCACCGGATCGCTGGATCAGCCGGATCACCAAATCAGTTTGGCCACAATCACTGGATCACCGGATCAGCTGGCCACACCACCGGATCACCAGATCAGTTGGCCAGATCAGCCTGATCACCAGATCAGTTGGCAACAACACCAGGTCACTGGATCACCGGATCCACTGTCCCGATCACCAGATCAGCCGGATCTGCCGGATCAGCCAGATCACCAAATCAGCTGTCTACAACACCAGGTCACCGGATCACCAGATCACTGGATCAGCTGGCCGGATCAGGAGGTCACCATCGCGTTGTCTGTGATTCGTCGCGTGCGGTTTGTGATTCAATGTGTGCTGTCTGTGATTCGGCGCGCGCGGTCTGTAATTCAATGTGTGCTGTCTGTGATTTGGCTCGCGCGGTCTGGGATTCAATGTGCGCTGTCTGTGATTCGGCGCGCGCGGTCTGTGATTCAATGTGTGCTGTCTGTGATTCGGCGCGCGCGGTCTGTGATTCGACGCGCGCGGTCTGTGATTCAATGTGTGCTGTCTGTGATTCGGCGCGCGCAGTCTGTGATTCAATGTGCGCTGTCTGTGATTCGGCGCGCGCGGTCTGTGATTCAACGTTTGGTCTGTGATTCGGAACCCCCCACGCAAGGGAGGCGCGGCACCTGCAGAGGTCGACGCCCTCGGTGAAAACATCTACACAACGAACAACGCCCCAAAACGGCGTCGTCATCTTAGGCACGCCGCTTGGACGCATTTGCAAAAATACATGCGGAAGAACGCATCCGAAAAAAGATGGGGCTGCTCGACAAACTACCCGCGTGGAGCGACTTGCAGTGTGCTTTGGCAATGGCTATGTTGGCACGCGCGCGTGCCAACCACATGGCGAGGATACTGTCGCCAACCACGATCCCACACAGACGGCCATGAAAATGCAATCTGAGACTGTTTCTGCATCTTCTTCGTGGATGCCAGGGCTCGGCCTCGGATCAGCCACGAGAACGGCCACAAGGGCCGACAATTGGCATCGTGGGTCAACGCTTTCCCAATTTCCCGAGCAGGAGACAGCGCCCCGCGCTCCTCCTCTCCTCCTCCGCTCTCCCTCCTCCCTCCTCCGACCCTTGCCTCTGCCCTCCGCACGTCCTCCTCCTCCTCCTCCTCCTCGTCGTCGTCGACGTCGTCGTCGTCGTCGACGTCGACGTCGACGTCGTCGTCGACGTCGACGTCGACATCGTCGTCGTCATGCCACACCTCACGAGGATCGTGATCACATGGGGAAGGCGCCGCCCGCATGCGTCCGACCCACCCATTTCGGCACACCCCTCACGAGGATCGCGGCCACAGGGGCGCCGCCCGCATGCGTCCGACCCACCCATTTCGGCACACCCCTCACGAAGATCGCGGCCCACCGAAAGTCACAGGTCGCACAAATTGACGGGGGCGCGTGTCTGGGCCACTCGTTCCTCCTCCTCGTCCTCTTCCTCCTCCTCCGGTAGGCCTGTTTAGCCTGCCTTTAAATTCATGTCGCTGCGCCCGTTTCGAAGCCATTAGCTCGGAGCACGTCTGTGGCAGCCTTGATATGCGCGCTCGGTTTCAAACATGTAATTTCAGCGTGCCTAGTAGATACGGAACAAGCTGGTCAACGGTGCCAAGCTGGTCAATGGTGCGCATCTCACGGGTCGGCGGAACGGCCATCATGGACCATGCAGCTACTGGTGCGCGTCCGCCTGAACTGTGGGGAACTTGATGGAAATATGGCGTTATCATTTCGCACGCTTGCGCTACGGCGAACGCCCTATGGGGCCGCGGCGCGTGCGAAAGGTATGCCGAACTTGCCCGAGGGCGCCATGCGGACCCTGCCGCAGGCCGCGGCGCGCCGAACCACTGCCGCTCCCCACCGAATGCTCGGGCAGGCGGCGGAAGAGATGACAGCCCCTTCGATCCTCGAAGGCAAAACAATGAACTCCTCGATTAAATGTGCCCCCTTCCCCCGATCCGGGGCGGAGCGGCGCGGATGGGCTGTGGACTGCCTTCTATTGCTATGAGAATACAACCAACCCGTATCAGAAGGATGCGCGGTAAGGATGCAAGGGCCTGGGAGGCCCATGTTGACGTGATGCGAACGAGGTTGGCCAGCGAAAGTCGTCGCTAAGGATGGGCCGAAGGGGCAAGGCTGCGGAGGAGGGCCCACGAGCCCGCCCCTCGTCGATCCCTGTCGTTTTGTTGTGTCTTGCGTCCGAGGGCGGTGCTTCCGCCTTTGGTTCCATCGTCGAGGGAGCAGCAACTACATCAGCGCCGGGAAGACCGCCTCGCTAAGTGATGGGGCTCGCGTTGAAATTATCCTAGCGAAGGACCCGACCAGATGCAATTGTGAGCACCGCAAAGCAAACGGGACGACCGAGAGAGAACCGCTTATGGGGCCGCGAACCGCGTGAGACGGGCGAACCGCGTGAGGGGTGTGTCAACATGGGGCGGGTACCGCATGTGGGCTGTGGGGGAGACGCATGCGATGACGGCCGCTGTGACCTTCGGTGGAGCTCCTTATGGGACCACGAAACGTGTGGCTCGCGTGCTGAAATGGGCGGGGGAGGCGCGCGCGAGGACGGCCGCAGGGACCTTCGGTGGAGCCCCCTCTGTGGCCGCGATCCTCGTGAGCCCTGGGACCTTCGGTTGAGCTCCCCATGGGGCCCCGATCCTCGTGAGGGGTGTGCCGAAATGGGTGGGTCGGACGCATGCGGGCGGCACCACTGGGGCCTTTGGTAAAGCTCCCTATGGGGTCACGAAAACGCGTGAGGGGTGTGCCAAACTGGTTGACATGCAGAGGGCAGAGTCGCGCAGGGGATGAGGAAAGGGGAAGAGGAGAAGAGGAGGAATGCGGGGCGCCGTCTTTTCAAAACGAGGACCCAACACCACAGGATGGTTGGAAACATCACACGTTCGTAATTTAATGGCACTGTCGCACCTGTCTGATGATGGGGCCGCGAATCATGTGAGGGGTGTGCCGAGATGGCCCGGGGCCGCCCCCCCCCCTCCCCCTCCCCGAACCCTCTTCAGCGCAAAGGCGGGGAGTGGTGAGGGGGTCCGAAATCCGCCCCCCCCCTCTCTGGCGCAACGGGTGGAGGGGGGTCCGAAACTCGCACCCCCCTTTGAAAGGGAGGGGGGTGGTCGAACCCGTGGTTCCAGCGCTCGGTCTCGTCATACATTGGTTGCTTTCCTTCTGGTTGAACTCTCTCTCTCTCTCTCTCCCTTTGTCAGTCCCTGACTCCGACTCCGATTGGACCTCTCCGATGGCCACCCGACCGTGTAACACTTCGGCTGTGGTTAGCATTGGATGGGATGATGAGCCGTGCTGTCCGCGTCTCATCGAATATCCATGTACTGAGGACACAGCACGAATCGCCGCCGAACCAACAAGATCTGGTCTCAACCACCGCTTCTTGGCGAAACAACCATCTCCGACACTCGCTGCCTTGAGGCTCGCCTGCTTGTTTCAGCATCTACCCCTCCCTTTCTCTGTCTTCTCGCTCGGGCTACCTCTCCACCCCGTCTCTCCACGCCTACGGTCAGGAACTTTTGGGTAGCGTGTCGCTACGGCGGTCCCAGCGACACTCTATGCTTGCCAATGGGTGGCGTGTCGCTCCGCTCCGCGGGACGGCAATCTCGGAAAGGCTCGGGACATTGACGCCTGGGGACCGCGAATTGGATATCGTGTCGCTCCAGAGCGCGGTGGGCCAGAACAGGCCGAGCGACACGCTATCCAAACCTTCCCAACCGTATGCAAGCAAAAGGGAATGACCGCATCGCGCCGCCCCCAAACCATTTTCCGCGAATCAAATGTAGCACGCACGTTGCCTTTTCCGCTTGCTCGGAGAATTTGAGCGGGACCGGTCGCGAAATCTGTCCCGAGACCTGGTTCGCGCACCGCAACAAATCCGCCGACAAGAGCGTGCCCAACATTGCAATACTTAGTGTTATGCGCAACGACTTGCCCCATGACAAGCAACGGCACAAACATGCAGCCGACCCATGGCATACTACACGTGATACTTCTTTCTTGCCGATGCCATCCATCATGACCGACGTTGATACCACGTTTCATAAATGCATCATTCGCTCGGGTGCTAGCGCGCCACCTGGGATTACATAACTATCACGAGGGGGACGGCAACGACATGAAACCTTCCCTGGACAACTTATACCACAAGCAATGAGCCACCAGGCAAAAGCAGAGGAGGGAAGGAGAGTAAAGGCACAGGGATACTTTACGGAGTCAAGCCTACCATAGATTTAGCGTAAATGTTCGAACAACGGTCCTAAATCCATGGATCATTTCATGAAGATCAAGATGGCCTCGCGTAATCATGTAAAACATGTGACTTCCCGTCATAGTTTCATACACTATTCGTTCGGCGCTGATCTTCGCCTAGTGTGGAGCAGTACTCCACAAGAAAACATTGGGGCACGAACGCGTAATCGTAAACCTGTGAGCGCTGCTTCCCACGCAACAACACCAACATAATGGTTCCAATTCTGATCGAATCACCTTCCTGAGCTCAAGATACCGTACTTCGCCTCCCTCGGATGGAAGCATGGCGTCGCCTCTGCTCGTCCTCGGCTCCAGCCAGTTCTCCGCAATTGGTGATGAGAATCTGGCCATCTACAGAGCCGTCTTCGGAGCCGATAGACTCTATCCTGCCATCGGGTGATGATGATAAGGCATCCAGTCATGTGCTCACCAATTCTAGCAACCCTTTCCCTGCCCACCTCATTGCCGTACAATGCACCTCTGATGACCGAGCGAGGTCTACGACCCAAACAAACTGCATCCGATCGCGGCTATACGGCGCTCATCCCTGAGACGGGCTGGCACTCTGAAAATGAAGGATGCCTGGGTGGAGAAAAAGCGTTTGGCATGCGGGCAACGGTCTGGCGCCACTAGTTCTTGTTGCTCTGGCGACTGTCAAGCGGCCACGCCCGTGCAGACACCCGACCTCTCCACTCGCTCAGCCCAGCGGCATCATGCTCCAAGCAGCGCTTGCACTTAGGAAATTCTTACTTGGCTTACTGCCGGGGTTTCGCCTGGTGCCCGGCTGGCGGCCGCCCGTAGCCGTTTGTGGCCTCCTCGTGCGCTGGGTGGGTTTGCCGAGGTTTCGCCTCGTGACCACATGTGGACGCCTCGTGGCTGCCCCGTGCACTATGTGCACTACATAGCTCACGTAGCCGACACCACACTGTTTCCGCAACATAGCTTCAACGAGTAATTGGCACCACGTGGCTTGCACCGCACGGCTTGCATCACATGGCTTAGGCCACGTAGCCTGCACCACACTGACTGCACCACATGAGATCCACCAGGTAGCTTGCACCACGTAAGCTTGCGTCGCACAATCTGCACTACTTTTATTGTGCCGCATAGTTCACACATCCCGAGTGCAAGAAGTCACTGTCTGGGGCCCACGCCGACAAGCACTTACCAATGCAACAAAACCAACATCGGAGGTTGGAGGACCTTGGAGGCTCGTGCACGAGAGGCCGGCCCGTCAAGGCAGACTGGGGGCGCTCCTCTTCATGACGCCGCCGTCCTCGCGGACGATCTCTCCGAAGACGACGTGTTTCCTCCAGGAGGGGCGGGATGCCAACGAGGGGGGCGTCAGGAGGCGCAACAATCCAGGGGCATAACCATGCAGGATCAGATGTGGCTGCTACGACCGGATATGTGAAACGAGAAGAGAGGCACGGGCCTGCTCGGCAGCGCGCTCGCATCTCTGCCCGCCGCACCGCCAAGCGGACGAGCAGCTTGGAGGGATGGGAGGCGGCCGCGCGCGACTCGGAGTCCTGTCCAGGTGCTTGCACTGCTTGAACAGGACGAAGAACTGCGAGTTGTTGGAGTCGGGGCCACTGTTGGCCTGCCCCCCCCCCCGATTGCCCACCCTCGGCCCTGCTCCTCTTCCTCCCCCTCCTCATCCTCCTCTTCGTCGTCGTCCTCCTCCTCCTCCTCCTTCGGGGCTCGAGCTCGCGCTGACGGGGCCGTCGAAGAAACGACGGGACCGAGTCTAGAAAACTTGACGCGGACCCCCGCTGCTGACACCTCACGACAGCTGGTTGGGCGTCCCCGAAGCTGGACCGTCGAAGCTCATGCAGGGATGGCCAAAGAGCGGCGGCAAACCCGCGTCATGGCAAGCTCGGGTCTTGCGTTCGCCCTCCTCCTCCGCAGCACTCCGCCAAGCAGCCGCTGCGACGACTCACCCTGGAAGCGAAATGTCCAAGACCACAAGGGGTCGGCGGCGTGGCGTAAGCGCGTAAGCCAATGAATCTGAAACGACACGCCTAGCTTAGCCCGCGGACGCGTCTGGTGGTGCGACATTGGGGAGTTGTTCGTAACAGGCGAAGATAGCATAATATTCGCATGAAGGAAACAAGTCCAGGAGGAACAGAATCCTGGATTTGTTTCGCCCTTTTTGGGCCCCTGAGTCCCTCGAATGGTCCCGGACCATTAAGAAACGACTCAGGGTGAATAAATCGCCCTGGGGACTCCGAGCTGCTCCCCAGGGACCCCCGAGAGCCCTCCGAGGAGACTCCAAGAAGCCTCTGAGTCTGACCTACAACCCAGGCACGGTTGCCAACCAGCGCCGCATGGGGCAATGCCAGCGATGCAACATTATGAGCCGGCGAATGAGCGAGGCGATTCAAACAACTCGTCCTGGGAAGGCCCTGGAGTCCACAACACGTATCTTCATGCCAAGCAGGAGGAGGAAGGAGGAGGAGGAGGCGGAGGAGGAGGAGGAGGAGGAGCAGGAGGAGGACCAGTGTAAACTCAAGGGCCATCAGCGATGTTGGAAGAAACCCTCCCCCCAAGCTCCATCTTCATAGGCCACTACAACTTTTCATTTCCACTGAAAGAACTGCCTCGTTGGACAACAACCTTTTGAAGACCCTGAAGCATGCCAAAACACTATTCTCGGTTCAACGCCACTGATCAACCTGACTGTTGCGACTTGGCGATCCTGAATCGTGCCAGAACGCCATTCCTGGGACTTCAACAGCGCGAATCAACGTAACTGTTGCGTCCTCATAATCCAGACTTTTTCCAAAACGTAATTTCTGGTACGCTGACCATGAGAACCCGTTGAACTCTTGCAATTTTATGAGAATGAATTTGCGCGGCGCTGAAACAATAAACAACATTTGAAAACAATCCGCCCTCGATTCGTGAAATGTTTGAAACTATTTTCTAAATATGCGCGGCGCGAAAGCGAGAACCACAATTTGAACATTACCCGCCCTTAATCCGTGAGACTCTTGACTTTTTTGCAACGAATGCGCGTGGCGCCCATGCGAGAATTACATGTTGAAGCTTTGTCGCCCTTAATCCGTCAAGCTCTTGCGAATTTGGAAGAATGTGCGCGGCGCCGAAGCAAAAACCACATGTTGACAACGAGCCGCCCAGAATCCGTGAGCCTCTTGCATATTTGCTCAAAAGAATGTGCGCGGCGCCAACGCGAAAACCACTTCTTGAAAACAAGCCGCCCTCGATCCGTGAAGCTCTTGTCATTTTTTCAACATGCGCGGCGTGAATGAAGGCGAACACACATTTGAAAACCACCCGCCCTCAATCCGTGAAAGCCTTGAATTTGTTCCAACGAATGTGCGCGGCGCCCATGCGAGAACCGCTTTTTGAAAACCACCCGCCCTCAATCCGTGAAACTCTTGCGAATTTTGAAGAATGTGTTCGGCGCCAAAACAAGAACCACATGTTGAAAACGGACCGCCCTGAATCCGTAAAACTCTTGCATACTTGTTCGAAACGAAAACCACTTTTTGAAAATAAGCCGCCCTCGATCCGTGAAACTCTTGCGATGTTTAACACAAACGTGCACGGCGCCAATGCGAGAATCACATTTTGGATATCACCCGCCCTCAATCCGTGAAGCTCTTGCAAATTTTAATGCGCGCGGCGCTCAAACGAGAGCCACATTTTGAAAACCACGGACCCTCTATTTGTGAAACTGTGGCTCATTTTAAGCTTCAAGATCATACGTGGTGACTCAGGGGAAACGCCCGGCCGCGGAGTGCGACCAGCCTCGGAGTGCGACAGGGAAAAGTTATTCATAAGGAAAAGGAATGGGGGAGGAGGAGGAGGAGGAGGAGGGAGGAGGAGGAAGAGGAGGAAGAGGATGAAGAGGAGGAAGAGGAGGAGGAGGAGGAGGAGGAGGAGGAGGAGGAGGAGGACGAGGAGGAGGAGGAGGAGGATCTGTCCAACGTTGTCTTTCCAACGCTGGGCTTGGGCTCCCCGCCCCGTCTTCCCCTCCCCTCGCCCGCTCGCCCCATCTGGCCCGTGCGCCTGCCCTCGCCCCTGCCGTGTCCGCCCGCACCCCCGTCGGCGAGGCGGCCCCCCTGCGCCCCGTCGGACAGACAGCTGTCGGGTCGGGAGGGTGGGGCCAAAGAGAGCTGAGCATCATTACCCCGTGCGAGGACGTCTTTTTTACCCTCTGCGCCACTCCGCGCGTCAGGCCCCCCCCCCCCCTCCCGCCCCTCCCCCCCAGGATGCGGCCCCCGCCTGCCCGAGCAATCGTGGCGACCTCGTTCAGTGATGCCGCGTCCGCCCCCCCAGCGTGGACTCCGCATGGCGGCCCTCAGGGAGCGGACTCACCTGAGGCATCTGAAGGATGCGGGGGCTTAGTGGGGGTAGGGGTGCCCTGTCGCGGGCTCAGGGCGGAGTGTTGGGAGCTCCGACCCTGAGTAGCAAATCCCACTCAGATGGACACCCCTCGCTGTTTTGTTTCACGGGCTTCTGCTGCTCCTATTCCTTTCGCCCATCCGTGGGGCGCCACGTTTCTCGATGTCGGTGTCGCGGGCAGGGCCATTTCGAAGTGCTCCATGTGGCAGGTGCTTAGTATAACATCGTACCCTGTATCTTCCCAAATCCTTCCTCCCAACACGATAACTGTTTTCTCTCGCCCCAAACTCTCGCTCGGTGGACGCCGCTTTCGACCCCTACCGCGAGGAAGCCTCGGGATAAGCAAGCTGGGTCCGTGTCGGAGGCGCTAGCGGAAGGCGCCAGCGCATCGAGTAAAGCGCCTGACGGCGGGGCCGAAACACGCTGCACGCAACATACTTCGCAATTTCAGAGATGGTCTCAAGATCAACGACGACATCGAAACAAACAATTATCCGGGCGAACGACCCAACCATATTCAGTTGTGTGTACCGTCGTTGCGGGTATCGCCTTCGGGGGATCTCGTCATGGAGCCACGAAGCATGCGAACAGTGTGCCGATACGGGGCGGGTGTGCTGCCATGTGGGCGCTGCCACTGAAGCTTTGCAAAGAAGCCACAATGGGCCCGCGAAACGTGCGAAGGGTGCGCCGCAATGGGGCGGGGCCGCCACTGAGGCCTTCGGTGGAACTCCCTACGGGGCCACAAAACGTTGTACTGGATGTGGGGAGCGCATGCAGGCACCGACACTGGTGCATTCGGGGGATCTCCCTATGTGACCACGAAGCGCTGTACTGGGTAGGGGGAACACATGCGAACACCACTACTGGGGCCTTCGGTGGAACTCCCGATGACGCCACGAAGCGTTGTACCGAGTGGGAGAAACGCATGCGGACACCGCCTCTTGGGGCCTTCGGTGGATCTCCCTATGGGACCACGAAACGCTGTACTGGGCGGGGGAAAAGCATGCGGACACCGCCATTGGGGCCTTCGGTGGGCCTTCGGTGGGGCTACGCGTTGTACTGGGCGGGGGAAACGCATGCGAACACCGCCACTGGGACCTTCGGTGGAGCCGCCTATGGGGCCACGAAACGCTGCACTGGGTGGGGGAAACGCATGCGGACCATGCCACTGGGGCCTTCGGTGGGGCTCCCTATGGGGCCACGAACCGTTGCGGTGGGTGGGGGGGATGCTTGCGGACACTGCAACTGGGGTCTTCGGTGAGCTCCCGATAGGGCCACGAAACGTTGCGGTGGGTGGGGGAAACGCATGCGGACAATGCCACTGGGGCCCCCACTAGGTGGGGGAAACGCATGCGAACCATGTCACTGGGGCCTTCGGTGAGGCTCCCTTTGGGAGCACGAAGCGTGCGAAGGGTGTGCCAGAATGCAGGGGGACGGTATACAAACTATGCCACTGTGGCCTTCGGTGGGGCCCCCTATGGGGCCACGAAAAGCGTGAGGGGTGTACCAACATGAAAAGGGGACGGTATGCGAACCATGCCAATGGGGCCTTCAATGGAGCTCCCTGTGGGGCCACGCAACGTGTGAAGGGTGTGCATGCCATTGGGGCCTTCGGGGAAGCTCCCTACGGGTCCACGGGACGTGTGGGGGGAGTGCCAACATGGAGGGGGGTCGGCATGCGAACCATGCCATTGGGGCCCGCGGTGGAGCTCCCGATAAGGCCACGAAACGTGTGAGGTGTGTGTGTGTGTGTGTGCCAAAGTGGAGGGGGGCGGCATGCGAACCATGCCACTGGAGCATTCGGAGGAGCTCCATATGTGGCCACGAAACGTACGAAGGACGTGCCAAAGTGAAAGTGGAGGGGGGCGACATGCGAACCATGCCACTGGGACCTTCGGTGGAGCTCCTATGGGGCCACGAAACGTGTGCAGGAAGGGGAGGGGGTGCGGCATGCGAAGCATGCCACCGAATCCTTCGGTGGAGCTCCAATGGGGCCACGAACTGTGAGGGGTGTGCCAAAGCGGAGGGGGGGCGGCATGTGAACCATGCCACTGCTGCCTTCGGTGGAGCTCCCGATAGGGCCACGAAGCGTGCGAGGGGCGGCAGCATGCGAATTGTGCCACTGAGGCCTTCGGTGGAGCTCCCTGGGGCTACGAAGCGTGTGAGGGGTGTGCCAAAATGAAGGCAAAGGCAAAGGCAAGGGCAAGGGCGGGAGGAGACAGGAACGGGAGAAGGAGAAAAAAGAAAGGCGCGGGGACGGTCACTTCAAAACGAAGACCCACTACCACAGGATGGATGGGGAAAACCGACCACCTACGAATCCGTTTGTATGAGTGGGCGCCGCGATCGTTGTGTACAGCAGCAGGAGGGGGAGGAGGTGGAGGCAGAGGCCGCAGAGGAGTGAGTTGCGGGCGGAGCGCACCGGAGGAGGATTAGGAGGATGATGAGGAGGAGGAAGGATGATGATGACGACGGCGACGATGATGATGACGATGACGATGACGATGACGATGACGATGATGATGACGATGACGATGATGATGATGATGAGGATGAGGATGAGGATGATGATGATGAGGATGATGATGATGATGATGATGATGATGATGCTGATGATGATGATGATGATGATGATGATGATGATGATGATGATGATGATGATGAGGATGCTGATGATGATGAGGGGAACTGACGATGCGAGCGCTCGCTCCCGCGGCCTGCACAAGAAGGCAGGGGAAGAAAGCGAAGGGGAGGCCCCGAGCCTCCTCTGCGGCCCGCCTCCCCTGGCCCCCCCCCGGCCATCGAGAGGAGGTTACACCTGGAGTGCAGGCGCTTGAAGTTCTCGTCGAGAAAGGTGGGGCCTGCCGCACCCCCGCGCGCGGTCACCCCGCTCCTCCACGGGCCGAGACGCGGCGGCTGATCCCCACCGTCGGTCACGAGCCGCGGTGCTTCGCACCGTGCTGGGGAGGGCGACGATCGAGGCCCGAGAGTTCCTCCGGGGCCTTCAGAGGCCTCCATGAGGAAGGGGGGGAAGCATGCCATCGCGAATCGATGGGAGAGGGGCGAACCTCTGGGTCTCCATGCCCTCTTGCTTATAATCGATGCCCCCCTCACGCTTAGCTCCCAAGCCTCCCACGGGGGATGATTTTGACGTGCGTCGGCAAACTAAGAAGGCGAATCGTTGCAACCTTGTGAGCCGCGTGCTTTGCGTGTAAACCTCACATTGCCCTCAACCTTCCTCTTGGGTGCGCGGAATCCCTGCTGGCGCCTCGGTGCCGGAGACATCAACTGGGACCCGGATTTGCAGAGCCTCTTGCAAAACCATGGCACAACTTTTCCTATATACTGGATGCCTCCCGAACTGAGCTCCCAGATGGCAGCGCATCGCGGACACATCGGCGATGCATGGGCGATGCGGAGAGTGAGAGCATCCCGTATCGCACCGCAGCGCTGACCCATCAATGACGCATTGGCAAACATAGTCAAATCTTGGACTCCCACTTACTCAAATTCCACCGCGGAATTCTAGGCACAAATCTTCGTAGCCGCGCTCCTGTAGGCGATCGACAAAATTTGAAATGTCCACCTCTGCGTCAAGTCAACGAGCCATTCGGATAGACTCCGCGTCATCACTCTAAGGTTCAAAGCAGCACATAATAGGGAGAAAGGCCAATACGAACCCTAAGGAGTAGCAGCCCGAACAGGAAAGGACTGGACGTTCCCAAAGCCTGCATTAAGGCGTCTTTCGCTATGTGCGCCCGTAGGTCTGTCTTGTTCTTTGATCCAATCGCAGGCGCTCCTCAATGTGTCTTCCCTATGTGTTATATTCTGGTTCGTCATGTGCCTACAGCCAAACACGTGACGTAGACTCCAAGGGCTGCTGCAGCCCAGGTTGTTGCGTCACGCCCGTGGCGGATGCAGAGCGCTGCATGTGCGTGTGGGTGTTGCAAGTGGTCATCGTAAATCCAATAGTCCCCCGTCGTGGTCGGAGTCGTGTTTAAGTGAACTGCGCATACCTGTCGTTGCGATCATGTCGAGCGGGCAATGTTCTGTTAGTGTCGTATGCGCTACATATGTTTGCTTGATTGCATGTGTGGGGTAATTACCGCGGTTGGGTCCAGATGTGACTCCATCGCTGGAGATGGCGATATGCGTGCTCGTCAAAGACCTGCACTTATTTTACGTACCATCCAACACACATTGATATAGACCTGACGCGGCTGTCCATACTTTAGCGCATACGTGACTGCTGGTTCATACCGCAGGATTGCATGACGGCGAAAAGAACGTCGGATACGAGTTATCCGAGATCGAGCTCTGCGTCGACCATGCTCCCTTTCCTCGCCCTCGTCCTCCTCCTCGTCCCTGCTTCGTCTTCCGTCCTCCCTCCCCCTCCTCCTCCTCCTCCTCCTCCTCCTCCTCCTCCTCCTCGCTCAGGCTGGGGCTGCGGCTGGTGCCGTACCTCGGTACTTGCGCCCCCGACCCTCCTATCACGAGAGGTAGTACAGACAAAAACCGAACAGGTGACGAGAGAAAGAGAAGGCGCGACAGAGACAGCGGGCGACAGCAAGACGTGCCAGACAAAAATGTAGGTGGGGGCTGCACACGCATGCGTAAGAGGACGGCCCGGGCACCACTCCCAGGATGCCAGGTGCGGCCAGTCTTGCTTGCACTGTGGGGGGGGAGGGGGGGGCAAGTCTAGCGAGAAGGGGCACGGCTGGGGGTTCAAGACCGGCGTGGGCACCTCGGGCGGGCGGGCGCGCACCATCCGGGGGGGAGACCCGAGCGTGGCCCCCAACGCCTCCTCGGGGGGGAGGCGTGGGGCCCACCTCGGGCGTCCTCTCCTACCTAGGAGCAGGGCCGACATTTGCCCAATCCCAGCACGCCCCCGTCTCCTCCTCCTCCTCCTCCTCCTCCTCCTCCTCCTCCTCCTCCTCCTGCTCCTCCTCCTGCTCCTCCTTCTGCTCCCCCTCCCCCTCCTGCTCCTGCTCCTCCTCCTCCTCCTCCTCCTCCTCCTCCTCCTCCTCTTCTTCTCCTCGAGAGTGGGCCGGGCGGAGAGCAGGTGCGCGAGCGGAGGCGTGCTGGTCGTTGCCGCTGGCTGCCGCGTCGGGTGGGGGTCGAGCCGAGGAGGTGCGGCTCTGCCGCACGGTGGCAGTGCGCGCGGCCAGGCTGGGAGCGGTGCGGAGCCGGGGATGGTGAGTGGTCGGAGCCGACTTGCCTGTGGGTGTTACGGCTGTGTGGGGCAACAGTGGGAGGCGCGTGGGTGATGTGCGGAGCTTGCCATGGGCAGCTGCAGCGAAGCCCTGACGTGAGAGCCGGTCGAGGTGGTGGCGCTTCGGAGAGGGGTGGATGTGGATGGTGACGTGCTGGCGCGCCTCTCAAAGAGCGGGGCCCGCACCGCGGGCCCAGCTCCCAGCAATGAGCAGGGCTTCGGAGTTGACCGAGTGCCTCACAGTGGTGGCGTGCGGAGGCTGCGTGCTGATGGGTGGCTGCCGTACTGGTTGTCTGATGCCGTCGGGCGTGCGTGGGTATCGATGCTCGATCTGATTTGTGCATTGTGGTCTGTTGTGCGGTCTTCATTGTGTAGGTGACCCCCGTGCTTGCTCGTAGATGATGACCTCTGTGATGATGCCGTGGACGGCCCGCTTGTGTGCCGCGGTGTCTGGTATGTGGATTGCGTGGGAACGCCATGATCGAGTCGACGATGGTGCTCATGTAGGCGGCGTGCTCCAGGTTGCGGTGGCGGTACCGTGTATCGCCGTGCTCTTGTGACTGCGGCTCCTTCTGGTGGTCGCTGCGCTCGTCGCTGTTGTGGTGTGTGCGAATGGCTCTGCGGTGCACTCTCCCCAAACCCAAGAGCCCACTGGGGACCATACGGGAGGTTCGTGCGGCGTCGGCGCGCGCCAAGTTTTTTGGCACCGCGTCGATCGTTCAGTCTTGAATCCATCGCGGCCCCGATCGTTCAAGGTTGAATTCCGTCGGGTCCAATGGCGTCACTCACCGTGTCCCGCGGTGCTTCCGTGTCGCAGAATTCGATCTTGAACGCCTTCGCTGGCGTCGCCGACGCGCCAACGCCGCATGAACCTACCTGATCTCCCTAGGGGATCGTGGCTGGACCCAAGTGATCCGAACGTGCCTCCTCCTCCTCGCCCCGCTCCTCCTCCCTCACCCCACATCTCCTCCTCCCATCATTGCTGCTCCTTCTGCTGATCCCCAGCTCCAGCTGTTGCTCCTCCCTGCTCCCTCAGCAGATGCTCCTTTTACCCTCGTCGTTTTTGTTGCTGCTGCTGCCGCCGCCGTGGTCGTCGGTATCGCCGTCGCTGTCGTCGTCCTCCTCGTCGTCGTCGCTGTCGCCGTCGTCGTCGCCGTCGCCGTCGTCATCGTCCTCGTCGTCGTCATCGTCGTCGTCTTCCCTCTCCCGCCCTCCGTAGATAGACAGACCACCAGTACCGTCGCCGTGGGTTATGTCGCCGCCCTGCGCCATGAAGCCTGGGACGACACGGTGAAACTTCGACAACTTGTAGTGGAGGCGTCCACCTTTCCCCTTCCTGTGTCTTCGCCTTACCACCGCATGTGTCGCAAGGACATGTGCAAACATAGACCTCCTCATCCAACCGCCTCTCTCCCTCTCTCTCTCTCGCGCTCTCTCTCTCTCTCTCTCTTTCTCTTGCTCTCTCCCTCTCTCTCTCTTTCTCGACAAATCTATGTGCCTCCCCGCTGGTTGCGATTCCCAAATCATTTCCCTTCTGCCACTCCCCATATTTTCCCAACCCTCCTCTGGTTGGGTGACCGTCTTGCATAGAGCACTGCTTGCGCGTCTCCTCCTCCTCCTCTTCCGCCTCCTTCTTCTTCTCCTCCTCCTCCTCCTCCTCCTCCTCCTCCTCCTCCTCTTCTCATACCATTTCCCTCTTCGTCCTCCTCCCTCCTCCCCCTCCTCCTCCTCATCCTCCTCCTCCTCCTCCTCCTCCTGTACTTTCTCCTCCGCATCATCCGCCTCCTCCTCCTCCTCCTCTCCTCTCCTCCTCTCCTCCTCCTCCTCCTCCCTCTCCTCCTCCCTCTTTCTTCTTCTTCTCCTCCTCCTCCTCCTCCTCCTCCTCCTCCTCCTCCCGTCTCCCTCCTCCTCCTCCTCATTATCCTTTTTCTACTGTCTCTTTCTCCTGCCTACTCCTCTTGCCTCATCCTCCCTGCCTCCTCGCTTCTCTCATTCCTCCTGCTCGCGCTGCCTGCGGGGATGCGAACTGCGACACTCTAGCCACTTTTGGGACCCCCCGCGAGGTCCAGCGGAGTTGTGCCCCACGGTGATCGGAATGAGGCCTCGCCGTCCCTTCGGGGCTGCGAACTGCGAAACCGTCGCCACATTCGTTGGTTCGTGCGAGGTTGCGTCCTACGGGGTTCGGAATGAGACCTCACCGTGTCGGGGGGGCTGCGAAATGCGAAACTGTCGCCACGTCAGTGGGCTCCTGCGACGTCCAGCGGAATGGCGTCCCACGGGGATCATAACGAAGCCTCGCCGTCTCCGAAGGGCTGCGATCTATTAAACTGTCGGGTCAAGCGGAGATGTGTCCCACGGGTATGAGACTGAGACCTTGCCGTCCTTGGGGGGCTGCGAACTGCGACACTGCCGCAACTTTTGGGAGCACCTGTGAGGCCAGCAGAGTGGTGTTCCATGCGGGTCAGAATGAGACCTCGCCGTCCCTGCGGGCTGCGAACTGCGGAACTGTCGTCACGCTCGTGGGCTTCTGCGAGTTCCAGCGGAATGGTGCCCAACGCAAGTCCGGATAATACCTCGCCGTCCCCGGGGGGGGCTCCGCGAATATGTTGCAATTTTCGTGGACGCCTCTGGGAGGTCAAGCGGAGTGGTGTCCCACGAGAAAATGAAACCTCTCCGTCGCTAGAAGGGCTGCGAACTGCGAACTTATCGCCAAGTTCGTGTGCCGCTGGGGAATCCAACGGAGTGGTGTCCCACGGAGATCAAACTAATACATAGCACCCCGCAATTGCGGATAAGAGTGAGGGGGCGGGCGCGGGCGACGCGGACGTCGTCGAGCCGGCGGACCTCGTGGCCCCCACCTTCCCTGTCGATGGCGCTCTCCTCCTCCTCCTCCTCCTCGTCCTCGTCCTCCTCCTCCTCCTCCTCCTCTTCCTCGTCCTCGTCCTCGTCCTTGTCGTCCTCGTCATCCTCCTCCTCCACCTCGTCCTCCTCTTCTTCCTCGTCCTCCCTCTCCCCCCCTCGTCCTTCCATCATCGTCCTCCCATTGTCGTCCACCCCCTCATCGGCCTCCATCATCGTCCTCCCATTGTCGTCCATCATCATCATCATCATCATCATCATCATCATCATCATCATCATCATCATCATCATCATCATCATCATCCCCCTCCTCCCCCTCCTCCCCCTCCTCGTCCTCCTCCTCCCCCTCCTCCCCCTCCTCGTCCTCCTGCTGCTCCTCCTCCTCTTTCTCCACATTCTCCTTACATCCTCTCTTCTTTCGCGTCCTCCTCGTCCCCTGTTTACTCCTCCTGCCTCCCCCTCCTTTCCCAAGATAACGGCAACGCAATCCTTTTTTCCACTTTATGCTCCCCGACTTCTCTGATCAAGGCAACTCGCCAGGGCAAAGTTGCTGGACGGGCTGGTGTGGATGCGCGGGGCTTGAAGAGGTCGTTGCGGGCGCAGGCGGCATGCAAAAATCCGCCGCCGCGCTTGTACGGCATTGGTTTGTTCAGTGAACGTGGTTTGGGTCGCGGGTGGGTCGCGGGCTCTCCACCTCCACCTGGAAGGAATGCAAAAGCAGCCCGCCGCAGGCGCCGACAAATTTGGTTTGTACACTGAACGTGGACTGGGTCGCGGGTGGGCCGCGGGTTCTCCACCGGGGACGAATGCAAAAGATGTCCGCCGCAGGCGCCGAAAAATTTGGTATGTACCCTGATCGTGGTCGCGGGTGGGCCGCGGGCTCTCCACCTGAAACGAATGCTAAAGATGCCCGCCGCAGGCGCCGAAACATGTGGTTTGTACCCTGAAAGTGGTTTGGGTCGCGGGTTGGTCGCGAGTTGGTCGCGGGGTGGGTCGCGGGCTGTCCACGTGGAAGGAATGGAAAAAAACCCGCCGCAAGCGCCGAAAATGGTGGTTGCTACCTTGAACGTGGTTTGGGTCGAAGGTGGGTCGCGGGTGGGTCGCGGGGTGGGTCGCGGGTGGGTCGCGGGTGGGTCGCGGGTGGGTCGCGGGTGGGTCGCGTCGGGTGGGTCGCGGGTGGGTCGCGGGGTGGGTCGCGGGGTGGGTCGCGGGGTGGGTCGCGGGGCGGGTCGCGGGTGGGTCGCGGGGTGGGTCGCGGGTGGGTCGCGGGGTGGGTCGCGGGGTGGGTCGCGGGTGGGTCGCGGGGCGGGTTGCGGGTGGGACGACGACAACAAACAACAACAAACAACAACAAACAACAACAAACAACAATAAACATCAACAAACAACAACAAACAAGAATCCGCACCGCGAAATCCCACTTCAGCCACGCACCCAGGGACAGTGAATGACCGTTCGGCCCCCTCACTCTGACCTTGCCGTCCCTGGGGGGCTGCGAGATGCGAAACTACCGCCACTTTCGGTGGCTCCTGGGAGGTCTAACGGAATGGCATCCAACACAGGTCAACGCTAGACCTCGCCGTCCGTGCGGGGCTGTGAGCTGCGCAACCGTCGTCAATTTCGTTGGCTCGTCGGAGGTCCAGTGGAGTGGCGTCCTACGCAAATCAGAACTAGACCTCGCCTTCCATGCGGGGCTGCGAACTGCGAAACTGTTGTCACTTCCGCGGCTCCTGGGAGGTCCAACGGAGCGGTGCCCCACGTAGGCCCAGACTAGACCTCGCAAGGCACTGGGGGGCTGCGAGCTGCGCAGCTATCGCCACTTCCGCGGGCTCCTGGGAGGTCCAGCGGCTGCGTGCCCCACGCAGACTTCGCGGAGCCCCGGGGGGCTGCGAACGGCGCAACTGTCGCCACGTTCGTGAGCTCCTGGGATAGACTTTTCGTACACATGTCTTCAATGATCTTCCTCGTCCAGGTTTGGGTCTGCATAGTAATTTTGTTTCTTTGCCTGCTCGTGGTCGCCTTCCTGCCTGTGTTCTGAGTCGCAAGAGTGATGCCGTGAATGGTGAACATTTGACTGTGGTCCAACGTTCTGGGACGAATCGTCCAAGAGTGCTGCGGACCCTTCAACGTCTTCTTATGTATTGGGCGGTCCTGGGTACAATCGCCCCACGTGCACAACGGGTTGGGTACGTCCCTGGGTAATTTGTTAGTTACTCACGGCATTCGCCGCCTCGACTGGTCTTCTCGGACTTCTTCACCATCAGTCATCAGTAGCACACATCCTGCGTGCAGTCGATGGGCACTTTGTCTCGAAAGCGTACACAGTACAAGGCTGGACGCCGCTGGAGTGGCCCGCGTCGACGTGGACGCCTCCAGCACTGCAATCTGGGCCAAGTGGCACAAACCACTGTCGCACCGCGACAAAGCACTGCCTCGACATCTTCAGGTCCGGGCCGCCAAAACGCCGACGCGGGGGGGCGTGGCAGCGCCGTGCCCATAGTGCCGCCAGCCGCTCGCCAGCCTCCGCCACTTGTTCCAGGACTGCTCGCACTTCGACAAGGAGCGAGCTACGATAGCCAGACATCTACGCCTTCCCTCTTCCTTTTGGCACGCCCAACCCCGGACGACGTCCAAATCAGGGTGGATCACATGTGAGGCGGGGAAGGCCCAGAAACGACGCAGAACCATGCAGGTGGCAGCGTGCCGGCTGGGGCTGGCCATCATCTCTGCTACGTTCGCCCTCAACGGCGGCTCCGTGTTCGACTAGGAGTTCGCCATCTTCTAGCACCACTCCAGAGTTAGAGTGGCCTGCTATCAACACGTGTGTAATTTGTCATTTCGAAATTAGTTACATGCCTCCAGAAGGTCTAACGCTCATGGCCCAGAGAGCACGATTGTCGATACATGATCATCGGGATTCCCACTCATGGTTCCGTGCAGTTGTACCTCTCGCCCAAGGATATCGGAGAGAGAGAGAGAGAGAGAGAGAGATAGAGAAAAACATTGGCACTGCGTTGGCAACGTAGGGTCGGCGGCCTGGACTCAGGACGATGCGAGCCAAAACCGACGGCGCCAGACTCGACATCCAACGGTCGGAACAATGAGCGTGTGTCGAGCTTAGGGTAGGTTCGCCTGGAGTCTCTTGACTTTGACTGACCCCACGAGCTCTCTCGAGAGAAGCGCTCTCGGAGTACGAGGGGGAATTCCAAGTGGTGGTGGTGGTGGTGGTCACTGCGTGCGTAAGGGGATCCAATCCCGAGTAGAACAACACGCACCGTGGCAACAACGACGACGATGACGACGACGCAGAAGAAACGCAGTACGCGCCAGCAAGAGAAGGGCCTTCCGCCGCCAGAGCCAGCTGAGCGACGAAGAGGAGCGGGTCTTACGCGAGCAGGCACGGAGCCCTCGCGCGGCGGCTTGCGCGGGCCGCCAGCGCGGCACGCCACACTGGAGAGGCGCGACC